CCACTTCCCACAGGGCCAGAACATTCCAAACCAGCCCCTCAGTCCCGCACCCCCACCCTGCTTCATCCCCCCACCGCCCTGCTGACCTGCCCTCCCCTGCCCACCGATGCAGCCCCCCTCCTCCCAGTCTCCCCAGGCCCGGCCCCACCTTAGTCCACTCCTCTGGACACAGCAGCTTGTGTGACATCACACGACACCCCTTGCTCACAGCCCCCTGGGGCCGGAACACACCTCAGCTCTCTGCTCCTGACCCTGGTACCTCTCCCGCTGCTCCCCACATGGCCCCTTCCCCTGGGCCCCAAGTCCTCCAGCAGCTGGCCTGGCCAGGCTGCAGCAGGACCCTCCTGTGTCCATCCTGGAGCAGCCAGGAGGGAGAAGGCCCTGCGGCAGGGCACCCAGGGTCCTCAGGCGCCCCTTCTTCCCTGTGGGTGCCCAAGGGCCGGCCGAGGTGGGTGCCACGTGGGGTGCTGCTAAGGGCCTCACATGCTTGGCCCTGGAAGTTTCCAGAACCAGCACTGGCAGTGAGGTGGTGGGGGTCCCACCTCCGAGGAGCCCACCCTGCCTGCATCCACACAGTTGGTGCACATGGAAGGGAGTGGCCAGCAGTGGCGTCTTACAAAGCAGTGGTCTCCGCCTGGAGCCCACCTCCCCAGCCTGTGCCCACACCCCCGGGAGGGGGGCTGCAGGGACAGCTAGGCTCCAGGGTCGTCACTCAGCAGGTGGTCTGTGCTGTCGCGGTTGTGACTTCCTTTGACTCCCAGACAAGAGGGTGTGGAGGCCACAGCGTCTGGCCCGCACCCCCTGACCAACCCCCTGCACCCCCTCGCAGCCAGGCCGAGTGGGAGCAGCTCCTTGGCAGCTGCCAGGGCTTCTTCTTTTACGGGATGGAGAACTTCCTGTCCCACATTCTGGTGGAAAGGCTGGCTGCCATGAACTTACAAGGTGAGGTGGGACCTCCAGCAGCCCCTCCAGGCCTCTGTCCCTCTCCAGGTGGATTCCCTCCCTCGCCAGGCCCCGGCCAGGTCAGGGGTCAGAGGGGAGGACCGCCCCAACAGGCCAGGCCGTGGAGTCCCCAGGAAGGGTGGGGAAGCATTTGGGGACGTGCTGGTCACAACCCCTCCCCACAAAGTCCCTGTAGTCTGAGTGGCGGCATAGGGAGCGGCCACCCCTCTAACCCAGGGCGCTGGTCACCCTGAGCTGCATGACCTCACATTGGGGTTCAGAGGTCCGTGACACCCACTGGTGTCCCTGTGTGGCCCCACGCCCTCCCGTGTGGCGTGCCAGGGGGAGCCCCAGCCGTGGTGCATGCTGGCACGGGCTGTGCTGTGTCCCACTGCACGCACCCTCAGAGCCGCCACCCTATGTGCAGAGTGCCAGGTGATGGTGCTGCTGGACTTGGTACACTCCTTCGAGAGCATGCGGCGGAGGTCTGAGCTCGCAGAGAACAAGAGGTGGGGGCTCTGCAGGGCGAGCTGGGTCCCTGCACCCCACAGGAGGCACCCTTCAAGGGGAAGGGCTGGGCTCAAGTATTTCTGTGGTGAGCCTCGGGGTGGGTCAGGGCAGCGCTGGCTGCTGGCACAGTCGTGGAGACTGAGAGTTGGGGGGCCCAGCAGCACGCAGACCACAGCCCAGCTGGGGAGCTGGTGCAGGGCACAGAGAAGGACAGCAGCTGGGAGGACGCTGGCTTCGGAGCCCCACACTGACATGCGTGGGGCCTCATGGCGACCCTTCCACCTGGCTCGGCCTATGGCTGGAGCGGCCCTCTAAAACACCGCGTCTATTCACGTGACACCTTGGGGGGCTGAGAGCTGTGGGTCCAACATGCAGTCTCGCTATTGGTGCCGTGGGGGCTGGGCCAGGAGGGGCCCTAGCACTGGTGCACCCACTCTGCCCCCACAGTGCCCTCCAACTGTCCCTGGAGGGCCCCATCGAGACTGCCGTCCTCCTGAGCCTGGTGGGCGTCAGGAGCATCCTGGCGAACCAGTGGCCCACGCTGCTGCAGGACAATGCCATGCGGGCCAGCGTCCTATGGGACAGTGAGTGGAAAGCCCGGGCAGACCGAAGGGCCAGGCAGACTCCCCACAGCCCAACTGAGGGATCTCTCCCCTCTAGATCTGCTGGCGGTCGGAAAGTCTATGGGGCGAACGGTCCGTCTCCTCCAGAAGATGGGCAGCGATGATATGGCCAGCCAAGGTGAGATCACACTTGTCCTGCCATCACCACATGATCCAGCCTCACCTGGCACCTCACCAGCCCGTGACTGTCCATGCAGGACAAGCCCCCTTCTCCGGGGGAGCACACAGAGATTCCGGGACCTTAACTCACAGCCAGAGGGGGGCCTTGTCCTGGGAGCCACGGCCACCTCTTCCCCCAGCCCTCCCGAGCACTCACTGACGAGGGGCAGAGACAGGTCCAGCCATTTGCAAGGACGGGCCCAATCACCTGGGAGAGCACAGTGGTCACCACACTGACCAGTTCTCCTTAAGCAGCTCAGGACCCACAGTATCAGGTGATACCTGAACTTGAGCCATGCCCCCCAGATGAGTGAGGGCTGGGCGTGGCATGCTGGCCACTGGGCAGCCTCCAGAGCAGCCCACTGCCACTCCATTGTGTTCCTTTGCCACCCAGGAAGTGGCCGGGAATCCACCAAGAAAACAAATTCCCAGCTGAGGAGTGTGCCTAGTGAATGGGTGGGTGAGTGTGTGTGAATGAGTGAGTGAGTGAATGAATGAATGAATTAGTGAGTGGGTGGGTGAGTGACTGAGTTAGTGAGCACATGAGTGAATGAATGAATGAGTGGGTGGGTGAGTGAACACATGAGTGAATGAATGAATGAGTGGGTGGGT